GCGTGTTTCTAGAAGCCTGCTTTGGGGCGTGAAACCCGAACTTCACAGGAGTACAAAGGCATTGACAATGGCCCTACACAGTGGTAGCTGCCCGGCCCGAAGAAGAGGCATTGAAACCCACGCTCTTCCACTTTCTCGCTGGCCGCGACAAGCGCACCCGCTTTGCAACAGCTGCCCAATGAGAACCTTGGCATAACCGGCAAGCTAGGGCGGTGTGGCCTGAGCGTTGTGCTGTTCAATGAGCTACAGGCGAAACGCTGGCGGCACGAGGTTGCTGCGCAAAAAGCGTGCGAGGGTTTGCAGTTGAGAACGGGCAGGTTTCAAGACTAAAAGCAGGTGTTGTACATTGACTTTTTAAGGTGCGTTTGCCACACCGCCGCATAGCAATCGCCGGGTCCCGGTGGTTTGTACATTGATATTTTGAGGGTGCACATGCCACGCTGCCAGAACAACAAGCAGTCACTTTTGTAAACAAGCATCCAATGTTTTTTTAAAAGTCTCAATTAAAATTTTCATGGTCCCAGCAACGCCCAGATCCAAGATTTCTACTCCCGACTGATCTCCCCTACTGATCCCCACTGATCTTTTCTACTCCCACTGATCCCACTGTCCCCACTGATCCTGCTCTTCAGCCCGCTGTCGCCCCCACTGATCCTGCTCTTCAGCCCGCTGTCACCAATTCGAAGGGCCAGCCCCACCAAGGAACTGCCCCCAGTTGTCAAAAGAAAAGCTGCGCCACACAGAAAAGGAAATCAAACCCTAGCTGGAAGCCAGAACAAAGTACTGTCAAGGACTGTCATTGCTTAAAAACTTTCTTGGACTCACACAGCGTTAGGTCTTGCTTGGCGGAGAAAACAAAATGAAGGAAAAAGCGAACTTTGATGTTTGGTGCTTAGAAAAGTGAGGAAGAAAGAATGTCGTCATGATGCAAAGTGAAGGAGGAAATGCAAAACAGTGAACTTCTCTGAGGCAGAATGGCTCAAAACACTTACCCAGGTTGTTCGATGACCCGGCGGCTTTGCAGAACAGTGTCCTCAGCCAGCCTGGTCCCAGTTTGGTCGATCACCCTGCGGCTTTGCAGAACAGTATCCTCTGCCAGCCTTGTCTGGTGAAGTCTTTGCACTAATTGGCGAATTGGGCCAGTGGGTTGGCCAGGGGTGGGGACAGCGTCCATGGCACGGGTGGGGCCATGGGCGGGGCCATGGAAGTCGCCACAATCGGGGCACCGGACGCGGCCATGGGCAGGGGCAGCTGCTTGGCCAGAGCTTTGGCGAGGGGGGGCTTCGCCTGCAAGATCAAAGGAAAGGTCTTTCAACAAAATATCGGATCACGACAAAGCAGAGGCTATGAGTAAAGGGCTCCCTCCGGCTCCCAGAACAAGATCCGCGAAACAGGCTCGTCAAAACATAAACAAATAAACAAAGAGATGGATCAAGGGCCATAGGGGGAATAGCGAGGCAGAGAGAACAGGAGCTTGGGTAGGGGTGTCTGGAGGAAGAAGGCAGGGAGGCGAGGGGAGGGCAGGCGAGGGGGCGTCCCGGCCGAGGCGACAGGTTTTGCGGTATTTAGAAATTATTGTATCCCATCCGCCATGACCCACGACGGTGACCGATTACATTAAGAAGGGAGTAATCTCCCTTTTGGGTCTGTAACATTGGGAGCAACGCCAGTAAGTTGCTCCATCGGGAGCCCTCGCCATGGTGAATATCGCTGACAGAGGCATGTCTGCAAACAAATGAAGAAGTCAAACGGTGCCGAAAAGAGAAAAGAAACTCGAAACGCTAGGAGCTCAGAAGAGGGCAGAAAGGCAAACTAGGACAATATCCTTTGGTTGAATAGTTGATTGGAAGACCATCTCAACACACAAGTAGAGCAGAAAACAACATTCGTCAACAACGCAGTCCCACAGCAAACAGGGGCTGAAAAACTTCAACTTTCACGTTCTTATGGTAGAACTGCTATGCCGCCGGCGTAGCAGTCAGGGTGTCCAAAGTGCTGTAAACTGACATTCTGACCTTCAGTGTGCTATGCCGCCGGCATAGCAGTCAGGGAGTCCAAGGTGCTGTAAACTGACATTCTGACCTTCAGTGTGCTATGCCGCCGGCATAGCAGTCAGGGTGTCCAAGGTGCTGTAAACTGACATTCTGACCTTCAGTGTGCTATGCCGCCGGCATAGCAGTCAGGGTGTCCAAAGTGTGTAAACTGACATTCTGACCTTCAGTGTGTTACGCCGCCGGCAGAGCAGTCATGAGTGTCCCGGAGAAGAATTCTTCAAAATTTTCCCATTTCATCAACATCGTGAATTAGTCACTAGTCCGCATGTCAGACAGCGAATTGTTGAGTACGTACGAATGTTAACGACAACTTCCTGGGGGGAGGTCATGCTGGCTTCTTAAGCGAGCTGGCTTGAAATATCAACGAGAAGGCCAGGGCGTCATGCCCACAATGTCCCCCACTTCAACAACATCCCCCTCTTCAATAGCCAAGGCGTCTGCCCCTCTGCATGGGGCAAGGAAGATGATGGCGTTCTTCTCTGCCTGCGGGGGCTGCCGCCGCTGGGGGGGGGGGCCGGAGCGCGTTCTTCTCTGCAACATTTGGCTGCCGCTGCAGTGTGCCGGGCCATTGCCGCAGCACAGCACGTTCCCCTCTGCCCATGGCTGCTGCTGCTACGTAGGGAAAGACAACCGCGCTGCACAACAAACTCCCCACCCGTGACGAGCGGGTTTCGGCTGGCATTAGCTGCCCCATGTGAACCCCGGCGAACCCACAATCCTTGGGCGGCCCGGCCCAGCGCAGCGCATTCCCCTCTGCCCCTGGCGGCTGCCGTTGTGTAGGGCATGAAACCAGAGCTATGCAACGAACTCTTTAGCTGCGACAAACGTCGCCCTTGTGGCATTAGCCGCCCATTGTCAACCCCGGCGTACCCGACATCCTTGTGCGTCCTTGCCCGCGCGCTGTGTTGTTCACTGTGTTGGAGGCGGACCTCTGGCAGGGGTGCGAGTTTGCTGTGTGGGTGTACGCAACAGTTGGCGAATAAGAACGGAAGCTTTCCGAAATTGTAGGATTGCAGTGGAATCTTTACACTTTTTGAGGAATCCAAAATTTCGCAATCTCAGATTTGGTGGTGGACAGCAGCCCTTGAAAGCACCGTCCAGTGGTGGCGCCTCTTCTGTCAAGCACAAGAGGCTTGTTCATGCTGCAGTTGCGTCTCGTTCGTTCCAGTCACAGCCCGCCACGGTTGTTACCGTGCCCTAGCCAGCCATCATTACCCAGGTCCCGCGGCCATCCTTCAACCCCAGGACCCCAAGAACCGCCTACTACACAGCAGTATTGGTCCACCGCCGCCAACTGCCGCAGCCGCCGCCTCCTGCTATTGCCACCCTCTCCTACAGCAGACCAAGCGCCCTCCCCAAACAACGGCTTTCTTCTTGGCAAACGCAGCCAAGCCCGGAAGGTAAGCACACCTTGTCAAGGTACGTAGTCACTGTGTGCAGGAAAGCACCTGCGCGAGTTGCACACACAACACAGAATAACCCCATCTCCTCACATCCTCCGTGAGGAGGTGTACGTACCTAGAGAGCTTGTGGTCAGACAGGGAGACGCATGACTAAAATGAAAATTGGTCTGTTAGAAGTTGACAAATTGGTCTGTTACAAGTTGACACAATGGCAAAGGAGTCAAGAATATGTTGTCCCCGGAAGGCAATCATGCCAATGGTGTAAAGGCCAATGGAAACAGTATTAGCAAGAATTGTGCCAGAAACCAGAGAAATGAAGGTGGAGGACGCGATTCTTTTGGCACCCTACACTGCAGTGACTGGGTTTGCCACCTTAAATGAACAATTTGCTATGCCGCCGGCATAGCAAATTGAAGTTCCAGTTTCCAGCAATGGTCGTTTCCAGTGTGCTTTTGCGTAACGGCAGGAAAAGAAAGGCTTGTCCAAATTTCTTAAAACCATCATTTTTTGTGTGCTAATGCCACGCCGCCGTCGTAGCAAAAGGTTGTCCCAGTTTTCGGAAACGGTCGTTTCCGGTGTGTTTGTGCTGCGTCGCCGGCATGGCAAACGGTTGTCTGGATTTCTGAAATGCTCTTCTCCAGTGTGGTTGTGCTATACCGCTGGCATAGCACAAGGTTGTCTCTGTTTTCTGAAATTGTCGTTTGTAAGGAGCACGTGCTACGCCGCCGGTGTAGCTAAGGGTTCCTCAAAGTCTGTAAACGGTCATTTCCAGAATGTTTGTGCTATGCTGCCGGCATAGCAAATGGATGTCCCGATTTCTGAAAATGCTCTTCTCCAGTGTGGTTGTGCTATGCCGCTGGCATAGCACAAGGTTGTCCCTGTTCTCTGAAATTGTCATTTGTAAGGAGCGTGTGCCATGCCACCGGCATAGCTAAGGGTTCCTCAAAGTCTTAAAACAGTCATTTCCAGTGTGCTTGTGCTATGCCGCCGGCATAGCAAACGGTTGTACAAGTTTCCAGAAACGGTCGTTTCCATTGTGCCGGTGCCTTGCCACCGGCGTAGCAAAAGGTTATCCCAGTTTCAAGGTGATTGCTTGTGCTGCAAGCTCCCTCCCCGGCTTCCTCTTGGTTGCCCTGCAATCACCTTGACAGCAGCGTGTCAATACAGCGCGTTGTTTCATTTCTGCAGAATGTCAAAGCGGGCGACCTTTGCGTCTGGTTCTGGAGAGTCACAGGGCATCTGCGGTGCACTTGACCCTCCATGCAACAAGCCAGGGGCGCAGTACTCAGCCCTGCCTTGCACTCGTGAAAGCTGCAACCGGGTAGTTTATCTGCTCTGCGCCGCTGCTGTGGCCAACCACATTCACCCAAGGCTCTTGCAGTTGGCCGGCCCAATCGACCTCAGGAACGTTTGCAGCTTGGGGTGTGCTGAGAAGATTTTGAAGGCTGCATTAAAGAGCGCCCCAAGGAAATCTGACAGGCCCGCTTACAAGGAATGCGCTCAACGAACGCTAGTTGTCATTTCCAGCTATGTTCGTCCCGTCATGAGCGAAGAGGAATTGAGGCAGCAGAAGAAGGTGAACAACAAGTACCCGCCACCCAAAAACCCTGACAAGGAAGAGGTCTTGCGAGCCGGCGACGACGATCACAACGAATCGACAGAGGAAGAAGAGAACTCGGAACAATCAACGGAACAAGAGGGAGACTCTGGGAATTCGTCCGAGGAGAAAGGGCAGCCCAGCAAGCTACATAAACTACCGCACGGCGTTAAGCAGGTAAATTGTCTCCTCAACTTTTCAAGACAGCTGCCTGGCTTAGAAACTTGATGTTTCTTTTTCCTTGTTACAAACTCCAAAAGTTGATTCTTCTTTGGACTTTGTCTCTTTAGGCTGCAAAAGCCGATGTTGTTGGATCCTCGGGGTCAGCCGCCTCACAGAGAAGAGGACAGCAGCAAGATATGGATGCAATGGCAGTGGATGTTGTAGAAGGAGACCTGGAGACTTGGGTCGACAGAAGACTAGATACAATTGTCGAGCCTCAGCCACTGCAAACTCTTGACACGGTCAAGGACAAGGACATGGTGTCGTTGGTGGGATACAACTTCTGCGATTGTGCTAAAGATTGTCTTTTCATCCATGACACATCAAAGTTGGAGCAACTGCGTCTCCCCAAGACGATCCCTGGGTCAGTAAGGCTGGCGTACGATCAGGTTGACAGATTTGTGCAAGGTCATTATGGGCTGAAGGCCTCCAAAGATCGAAAGGAAATTATCCAGAACTTGTTGTTCATGCGCCTAATGGGGTTTGCGGCAATCTACACGGACCTGGGTAACCCTTTGTGTTACAACAGACGACCCTCTTACGCATCAAAGCTGCTGCAGAGGGTCATCGTTGAGTCACGCGTCCAAACACTGACAGAGAATTTCGACTTGCAAGCACTGACGCCAGCAGTGGTAGTTTTCGATCCAACGTCCACGCTGAGGATGGAATCCGTCCGAGAGCAGTGGGAAGCAGGGAACCCAGGTCTTTTGCTGGAGGCGGTGGAGCACTACACTGAGGGGCAAGAGACAGAGTTCTTCACAATTGTGGGGAACCACTCCACCCAAGCGCATGTCAATTGCTCCACGAAGGACCCCAGCATCAAGTTGAGGCGTGCCACATTTGTGTTCTTCAGTGGCCAACTTACTGATGACGACTTCCGGTTCCTTAGTCGGACAGAGAACATGTCCGTACAGAGAGCGGCAAGCACGACCACCTACAAAGACCACACTGAGCCCCTGAACGTCATTCCCTTCATTCGCGAGTACTGGAAGCAGTTTGGAAGACCCCCAAGGCCACAGTCCTCAAGGAAGAAGAATCGGACCAAAGAAGAGCAAGACTATGCAGATTTTCAAACCCTTCTACACGCCGTCCTTGAGCCTCAAGTAGGGGAAAGTACCGAAAAGGACGAGAAGGAACTGCAGAAGAAGATGCAAGCCATCAAAACCAAATACCAAGCGCTGAAGCAAAAAGCCGCAAAGGAGGTGAAAGAAGCACAAGCCCGCAAACAAAAATTGAAAGAGGTGTGTCTCTTCAAGTCCCACGCTTGTTGCTGCACACCTTGCCTTTGAGCTTTGTTTATCCACATACTACAACTAGTTTGTGGCATGTGCTTGCAGTTTGAGGCGTCCGAGCGCAAGGCCCTGTCGGAGGCACAACGGGACCTCGGCGTCATCCGGTACTTTCAGGCGGACTTGAACATTGCCATGCTGCCAGACGATGCTTACGTTTTGCTGATGAACGTCGTGAAGCAGCTGGACGATGGCAAAATGTGTGGGATTAAGGAGGGAATCAAAGCTGAGCAGGTGCGCGTAAGGCGCCACCATTACAAGGGCATCTCGTGCTTCCCCATTGGTTTCTACTTGGACATCTTCAAAGCGCTGCTCAACCCCCGAACCCAAGACGACTTAGCTGCAACTGTCGCCAGGGTCAGCAACCCAAGAGAGAGTGTGCCCAATTGGCAGGCGACTTCTACCAACATGTGGTTCACCAACTTGAAGAGTTACGCAGAGTGGGGAGGGGGTTTCCATGCATACAAGATGCTTAGGAAAGTGCTGGACGACCTTCTGCTAACAACAGAGAAGGCTGTGGAGTGGCGACGACGTTGCGAGTGCATTGTTGAATGGGACTGGTGGGTGGAGACGTCCTTGGAGGCTTTCAAGAGCGTGAATTGTCGGCTACTGTGTCTCGCCCTGAAAATGTCGGGCAAAGAGCCTCTTAAGAAGAAGGCAATCGAGAACCAAGTACTGGCGTTTGCTCCAGATGGTAGAAACAGGGCCCGTGAATTATACCAAGGGACAGTCGATGCTGATCTGGCCGGTCGTGGCTGGATACACCAATTCGTCCACCCAATGTTTGCCTTCAACTCTAGGAAGTCCGAGACTGCGTTGGTGGCGAAGGCGTACTTTGACAAGATCCTTGACGAATGGAACAGAGTCTTCAATCCGGAAGAGCATCTGTCCATCCTGCCGGAGCGAACACTGAATGACAGTGTGCAACACCTCTTTGGGGAAGTTGTGAAGCGCACGCCCTCTACAACAAACCTGATTTACACCGGAGCTGGGAATGGCCTGCACTTGCTCACGGAGGATGAACGTCTGTTCATTACCCCGTTTTTTGAAGTGGCCAAGACCTGGCTTGCAAGCCAACCGTACCTCCTTTACTCACATGCGCAGTACACCAACTATCTGCAGAATGCTCTCATGGACCCTTTGCTCAGGCTGTTCTACACTGTGTGCACGGTGAGTCAGTACACTTGTTGCCTGTAGGTGGTGTTGCAACAAACTAAAAAGTTTTTGCGGCTTGTTTCACTCTCGCCTTCTTGTTTTCATTCTCGCACTCAAATTGCCCTGCTTAATGCAAACAGTGAAATACATCGTTCTGCTTGCACCACAACAACGTTGTCATGAACACGAGTGTGAGTTGGGACAAAATGTTTGTTGCGCTGGCAGAAAACCGCAAAACCGTCGAAAGTTGAAAGGTGCAGAAGAAAAATTCCGACTATGAGCTATGCCTGTGGCATAGCAAAGTAGCCGACACAATCACTTTCAAGCAAAAAGTGTTTGGGTATTTTGTTCTGCCCCGGCACCAACTCTGCAATTGATTCCATGAAAATTACTTGCTAATCTGCCATTTGTTGTTCTTGTTTCAACGCTTTCTTCCCTGACAACTGACTCTTTGTGTTTCCTGGCAACAGTCCGGGAGCGTGATGGAAGACACACTTTCAGTGTTCTGTGAACGAAGTGAAGAGGCCAAGAAGTGGAAGATGTACCTCACAAGTGAGGCTGTGGGCCTGACATCCAATGATGTTGCGAAGGCACTGAATCGTTTCCTTCTGTGCCGGCAACGACAGTGGAGGTGGGATGTCTACAACAATTATCACGAACCTTGCTGGCGCCCTTGGCTCAACGACACACAGATCGCAGCACTCGAGAGGGAGCGGAAGGAGGGCGAGGCGCCCGAACCTACCATCCTTTCTGAAGAGGAACAGTTGGAGGCAGTGAGGGTGAACATGCAAGAGCTGCAGGAAACAACCATGCCCACTTCAACTGGGGAGGGCCACGAGGGAGCTGTGGAAAGAGAGAGAGTTGCGCAAACAGATGAAGGTGAACGTTCGCAGGACTTTGAAATGGACACTGTCTTCACTGGGAGAGTGGCTGGACAGGATGCTAAAGTGTCTGCTGACAAGAAAGACCGGTGGACAAGAGGTCGTGTTAGATTGCAAGCGGTTAAGTTCTCAGAATGGGTTCATACTACAAGACGTGAGAGTAACGCTTGCAGGGCAGCCTTCGTGCCGTGGGGTCCCTTGGAGCTTGCGCGGTACATTGTCCCCCGTTTGGGGGTCGACTTCGGAGAAGAATCTGGACGTGCTACAGCAAAGTGCGCCAAGGAGATCCACACCTGGCTGGTGATGGGCGACGCTCTGATTTCCTCATCATACGCAGCTGTCGCAAACGCTATGGGTGGTAGGAAGTTTGAATGCGTGGTGGTTGACCCTCCCTTTGGGTTGGAAAAGCACAATCCCAACGACGACTTCTGGGACTCCCCGGATTGCTGCTGGAAGAGCGAAAATCTCATCTCATTGTTGGATGCCCTCCACAAGGCACAGCTTCTCCCGGAGAAACCTAGGCCTTGGTCCTTGGCAGTGTACCTCAAAGTGGAAGATGTTGGGAAGGTCGCCCAAGATTTGCAAAATTGGGCCGGCGAGGTGGACTATCTTCAATGGGGCGGTCAATTCTCAGTGGTTTTTGGGAGGGACGGCTGGGCACATCTCCAGCCTGGCACGCGTACTGTGGGGCACTGCCAGCACATGCTAATAGCAAAGTTTAACAATGGGAGCGAGGCTGTGCAGGCCGATGACGTCGGTGGCGGACTAGGGGGCCGGTTTGTGTTCAGCTTCACAAAGCCAACAGTTCGCAGCCGGTACCGTCGCCCCGATCTGGACAGTCTCCTTTTGGCTGACGAGAGCGAGCCTGCCAACAGGACTCAAAAAAGCATAGATGAAGCTAGGCTAATTGTCCGCCTTCTGACACCCAACCAGGGTTGCGTGTTGTCGGCATGCAATGGCACCGCCACCACCCTGATCGCGGCAGCCCTGGAAGGCCGCGACAGTGTGGGGGTTGAGAAGTCTGATTTGCAGAATAATTGCGCACTACGAAGGCTGAATGCAATGTTCCACAGCGAGGGCTTGTTGTGCGCTGCCCTGGAGCTTTCAAGGGACCCTCGAAGTGATGCTGTCAAGGACATTCAAGCTCTGCAGACTCGGGGGACCTTGTTGGATGGAAGTGCCCCCCAGGGGGAGGCAAAACTGGGGCCAAATGTGGACAATTGGCTTCAAAAGGAAGTGAAGGAGCTGCTGTCGGTGGGCATGTTCAACAGGCGTTATTGCGTGCAGGATATTCTTATCCCTCACACTCTGAGGAGTTTGTCGAGAAAAGATCTGCAAACTCTGGAGCTCATGGCTGGACATGAGATTACAGAAAAAATGCTGCCAGCAAGCAACTGGAGAGTTTTGACCCGCCCCATACAAATGGCACAAAGAACTATGCCCGTTGAGGATGTGAAAAAGGCCATCCGCTTAATCTACCTCAACAAGGACGAACAGGGTTTCACTCTCAAAGAACCTGAGGAACTCGCAAAGGTGTTGTTGTCACTCGTGCACAAGGATGCCATGAGCGCAGTGGACAAAAGGGAGTTCCTGAGCACAATGAAGGACATGAAACGTCCAGAGCAGGGTGGTGCTCAGTCTGAGGGTGACGGGGAGGCTAGTGTACAACGCGACACTATGATGAACGCAGGACAAAAGGATGGGACCCAATCGGAAGTGGTCATGGGGGAGGCTGGTGTAGACGCTAGTTGCGAGGTTGAGCCAAAAAGTGCAGTGGAAGTGGAGATGGACGAGGGAGGTGGAAACGCTGTGGATGACAGCAGTAAAGATGCTCCTATAGATGATGCTGACCACATCTCCTCTTCAAGGGACATTTGAGTCTCATTTGTCCACTTTCAAGTGGAAGGGACAGGGTGTGATGCCCGGGCTGCTCTTAGCTCAACATTCACTTGTTGCTGCGTTCCCTACCCGTGTAATGCTGCTGGCCAATTTTTGCACCACAACGAGTTTGCACCCTTGTGCACTGGCGTTTCTAGCTTCCCGCTTTTTACATGCCTCTTGAACGCCACTCGCAAAGTCTTTCTTAACTATTGGCAACTGCGACAGTGTGACAGCCTAGCTATGCCACCAGCATAGCAAAGCTTTGTCACTTTCCCACTGTACAAGCCAACTTGTCTGCAGGTTTGTTTTGCCCATGGGCACAACAAACACCCCACTTTGGCTTGCTCTGTGCGAGCTCCCATGTGAAAGCTCAAAGCGGCACCATTTGCAGCTGAACGCCAACACGACCTCGTCATTTGTCACTTTTGATTGTCCCCTCCGTTGTGCCTTGGGCAAAGCAAAACCCCGTGGGACCCCTTCTACAAGAGACGGAAGCGGCAAAGTCCTCATCAACGTAATAAATTTGTAGTGAATGCACGTCTTGGTCCCCCACGCTTAATGGGCTTTCCCTCGCATTGATTGTTTTCAGTTTGTCACCCACAGTTCAACACCACAACAAGCGAGCGTGCTCGCGCGGCATCTATGCGTTGTGTTTGCAAACATGGATGACATCGTTTCCAGATGTCGTTGGTTGGAACACAAGTCGGTTGCTACAATTTACCTTCCCTACTATGGAACAACGTGTTGATCCACGTTACCCTTTGTACCTTCCGCACCCTTCATCTCTTGTTGTTACCACATTTTTGCAGAAACCTGAGGGGCAAGTTTTCCAGAACCATGAACGAGGAGGTCAACCAACTGTCGCCCGAGCAACGAAGCCAAGTTGGAAAAGGCCTAGGCTTTGTCTGCACATTCCCTGGCTGTCCCAAACCTCAAGAAGCTGTACAGCAGTGCTTCCTCTGCCACGAAGGTTGTCACATGAGATGCTGCGAGAGCCTAGCCAAGAACCAAGATGTTTTGGGCAAACTCTTCAACACCCAAATTTGTTTTGGGTGCTACGACAACCTCGCCAATCGTTGGAGAGGACAAGGCGGCAGTTCAATGTGTGTGGACCCTTCCGGGTGTACCCTCTCTCAGTCCAAGGGCACTTTAGGTTTGTGGTGTTGGCTGTGGTTAAGCCCTTGCTGTCTGGTTGCCCGGTTAAACCTCCTTAACCCTTGCTCGACACTGGCACAGGTTCACTCCACACCACGGCGAGAAATGCCGGTTTGCTGTTACGTGCGCCTGGCACTTCAACGTCCAACCAGCACCAAAGTATTTCTATGTGCACCTCTGGTGCCTCCCCGGCACCAAAAAGACAACGGTCCTCTCGGAGCAATGCAAGCAAGCTTGGAAGCTCAAGATGCTTTGCGACAATGGCAGCAGCCCGGGAACTGTCAGAAACAGGTACTCCAAACAGGGCTGTTTGCTATGCCTATGGCATAGCAAAAGGAACAGAGCAAGAGCACTTTTCCACAATGGCTCCGGCGACCTCCTTTGCTGTTTTTGTTTTGTAGGGCGCAAATTGCTGAACTCAAGAGGAGCTGGTTTCTTTTCAACGTGTGCTCCTGATGCAGAAGATGACGATCACGTCAGGAGGGTCTACAAGGAGATGGTGGAATTCATCGCCCAAGAAGTGATGAACATGCAAACTCCCAGGCTGAGAGAGGCCGAAGGCAAAGAGCCGGATGACCCAAAAAGGAACGTCAAGGATCTTTTGGCAAAGATTCAAAAAGTGTGCGAGGAGTCAGAAATGCCAAAGGAGTGCTGCAATGATGGATGTTGTAAAAAGTTCAGCGCCAAGGAGGTCCTGTACAGACGCTTGCACTTGGCGGCAATGAGCCACAAAAGGAAGACCAACGACCTCAACACCCTAATCGAGGTCTGTCGAGTTGGAGCAGGTGACCAGCGTGTTGATTACAACTGGGTGGCAGATGGGGTGGTTGTGTGTCGAAAGTTCTTTTGTTACTTCCAGAACGTTGGAAGCACCACTCTACAGAGGCGGTGCAACGACATCAAAAACAGGTCGGGCTTGATTGGCACACAGGTGGTGCACGGCAATTGGAGACAGAAGCGTCCAGGCAAAGGGCGACAGGACTGCGCCGCCTGGTTAGGAGCCCTATTTGAAACAGTTGCACAGCCAAGGCCCAACAGCTGTGTGCGCCGCGAGGGAGAGACAAGGGCAAAGGAGTTTTTGCCCTCGTCAATCTTCCG